ACGGAGAAGTGACGTTTATTTGATTTAAAAACATTCCAATTAAATGACATTTCTCCACAACTTGCTTCTTCAGATAAAATTCTATTCCTACCACTATCAATGACAACTTTAAAACTGTTTATAACCCTTTTGATTCAAAGAAGTGAAAATTTTAATGACCAATACTACTAGACCAGATAATATTTTTTGTTTTCCATTCAACAGGTCGCCCTTTGCTTCCACCTTCAGGAGCTCGTGTTTCCGCTATAATCAGAGTTGTAAGAATGTTAATAGGATTTACAATACAAATTACTTTAAACATCCCAGGCATTTTTTGAGTTTCTAACAACTTATCTTTCCAATAAACATTCACAATTTACTAGTGGTGCATCTAGGAGGGGGTGTCATAGGACTTCAGACTCCCCCCCTTCCATAGACGTCAATGATACATTACCGTAGTTTATCACTTACTAATTTTCTATAAAAATGAAGTTATTCAATTCAACATATCAATTGAAAACGTTACAAACTAACAAATTTAAATTCATCATAAATGAAATTTCTTTTTAAGTAATCAAGTGGGCTGTAGTCACTTCATCGTAGTCCCTTCCCCCTCCTAAATTTCGAGTACGCCTCCTTAACAACCAATATAAGCAAATTACGAATAAATCACATCGCACTCCTATAATCTTGTGCTAAATTAGCAATTTCTCTTTTAAAATTATGGATGAACCTCGTAGAGAGAAACCTCTCACAGCGCATGCGCAAATATTTTAATTTACAGCTGTGACCACCACCACCATGACCATCGGCTACTGCGTGCTTCTTCCCCTCCGTTATTCAACGTGATGTCGCCACGCGCTCGGAATCGGTGTCAGTTTATTTTATTCGAGCACTTTTGCCGCATTCTTCTCGCGGGGTGTCATTTAACCCAAAGACTCCCAAACTTTTGGTGACATCGACCCCTTTCAAACGAATGGTTTGGTTCATCAACCCCCGTACTTTTCCCTCCACAATTTACAGCAAGCTACGTATTCTTAGCACAAATAATGGCAAAGATAATTTACACAAAATTGCTTCATTATTTTTGTACTATTATCAATATTGGTTTTACAAATTAAAATCTTTCTCAAGATCTCAGAAGCAAAATCGGATTCTAATTGAAGAGTTCGATTTTCCTTCAAATGAATGATAATAAATAACACAAGATGAGCATATCTGTATTTTATTTGTATCTGAACTGCATTGATATATTTTTGCAATCAATGACATCCTTATGACCCCGATCAGCACCCGGTGAACATTTGACTCTCGACCCCCTAATGAACCCTTGATCATCGACTCGAAGGGGTTCGATAACCCCTAATTTAGCTATTGCACAGCCTCAAGAAGGCACTCCGGGTGAGTTTCCATCACAGAGCCGAGAGGGGCGCTGCCCCTGTGCCTGGAAAGACAAGCCACGCCCTTAAAGGTGTTTCCCACGCGCAACTTCCATTACAATTCAAAAAACTTGCTTGCAAAAAATAAAATTTTGAGTGATCTTTGTATAGACGAGGATAAGCAAAAATATTAATTTCACTACATTTAAGATGCAGATTTTAGATTCAGTCCTTTGTAACTTCCAATGCAATCACAAAAAAAACAATTCTCTATCCGAACCAAAGAATTTCATCGAGTACTGTTGTATTTTGGAGGAGAGTCATAAAATGACAATATCGAAAATAACATCCAAAATAATCAGAGATCTCAATGTGTCAAAAGAGAACGTCCATAGGCGGGAGGAGAAAGGGGGAGTCAGGGAGGCGTGGCGCCCCTTTTGAATAGCTTTAGGTAATGAAATATTTTATTTTCTTAAACATGTTCAATCACTGACGTATCTTTTTTATTTTTCTGGAAATTCGGAAAATTGCGATACATTTCGGGAAAAGGCTCACGAAGCTATCTGACAACCATATCATTGACATAATATGGTATAATTTGGCATACGTATAATAAATGACATAATAATCCTTTATATTCATTAATTGCATCATTTATCATTTATGTTATAATTTCCTACTCCGTCTGACACGTTTTAGTAATTTAGTAGGTAATAAAACAAACTTTCAATGGAAAATTGGGCCCAAAATAAAGTTGGTTCCCCCTTGTTTTGGGGGTCGCACGCCTGTGGAAACGTCCATTGCTATTTTATATTCCAAATTTTTTAATACATCGATAAACTTGGAAGCCCAAAACGCGTTTAAAAAGTGAAGTTCTCTCGATCATTGTAAGTTACAAGGGTCCAAACGAATTTCGATTGACTTGATCCCCACAATACATTTTATGTTTCTACATGTACTTGTGTACAAGAATTAAAAGAGCAACTACAACAATGTAAAACATTACAATGACTCTTCGATTCGAACGTTATTCTTGTTAATACACATTAAACCACTTTACTTATTGGCTCTGTGCAGAAAAAAGTAAAGAATCAGAAAGCAAAACCTCTTTCATGACAGAGACTTGACTAGCATAATTGGGAACAGTTACAGATATAACCACAAGTCTGTTTTCTCACCTCTAATTTTTGACAATGCTTTTGCAATACATGCTCTTCACGTGATAATATGTTACACCTTGAATAAAACAGAAATAGAAACCTCGTTTATAACGTAGCCTATCATGACAAACATCATCTGCTTTTGATGAAAATAAAACATATTTAGGCCTGCACAACCTAAAACGAGAGGGGGGGGGCAATACATTTCTTGACCCCCCCCTTTCCCTAGAACAATTTTTTTCGCGTGACATTTTACTAGTAAAAAAATATTGCCACAAATTAATATTACTTACAATTAACAAATGGTTGTATGTTGATCTATTTACAGAGATGTCAGTCCTGGAGTGCCTTTTACTCATATGTATACGTTCCTTAATTTATGTGTTAATTTGACAAAAATAATTCACATTATTGTGAAAAGTTACTATAATTAATGTTCATCACAATTTTTAAAATGTTACTTATGCATAAAATAATATGGACGATAACGGCATCAGCTCTAATTTGTTCTAAATTAGATAAAATTGAAAAAAAAACTAAAATGGAGAAAAGGGGGAAAACAAGAATAAAAAATATTTGCACGGCTACGTGGCCCCTTAAAAATTGAAAGGGTGAGTACGCATATGAAAATGTAATAATATTTTTTGTGATTAAATTGATTCTGGGTTTCGATTTAACCTGAGTATTTTTAAACTTTTTGGTATTCACAACTCAAGAGGTTAAAGGCCGTTCGCACAAGAGACGTACGAAGCAGAGAAGCACTCTTGTCTCTGTAAACATTCGTCATCGATTGTTTACAGATTTCCCTCGGGCTTTGTTTCGTAGAAGCACTACTTTCACACGGACAGATTAACGACCTCTCGCCCATGGACCACTGCAAGCGGTCAGAACATTGCCGAGTTCTTTACAAGTATTTTTTGTCAAAACAAAACAGGTAAGCTTTAAAAAAAGGCTCAACGTCAAAATCACGCATGGTGGTCATTGGATTTATTGTATTCCTTCAGAAATAGGGTTAGCTTTAATATTTTGGGATATAAAACAAAGAACATCAAAGATTAATATTAATGAAATCTTGCTACACAAAGAAGGCATTTAGAGGCTCAAAATGAATCTGCTAATAGTATTTCTAGCTATTTCGTAGTTCCAAGAATTCTCCATCCATTTATTGAAGGTTTCATTGTGACTAAGTACTAAAATTGTTATCATTTCTCATTCGAGGGGAAAGGAACAACAGGCTTTTTCATATCCGTAACCATTCAAAACGTCAGGGTGGAAATTGGACGAAATGTTGCGAAGTCATCACAAGTATTGCAGAAGCCTTACAATAAGATAAAACTATTTATTCGATTGCCTTCTGTGACAGTAAGCAAAACACCGTTCTAGTAACGATCAATTTAAGTTCCGCTTACATTGTAACGTGACCCGTCAGCACAGAAAACTAATCACGGTTCTAGAACTGGAACAGGTATGTAAATGAACAAGCTCCTGAAAGCCTTAGCGACGCGAAGAAAGCGCATGTCTACAATACTCGGAGCACCCAGACACGGCTCTTTCCAAGCCCCGCGCAAATGCAGCGCCTCGGCCAACTTGAACCGACAGCCTCGAGCACGTCGCGAGCGGGGGCGACTGAACAGAGAGAAGAAAACGACGCGCGGTGCGGTGGGCTGTGGCGCGCTTTGGCCACCCCTGGCGCTGTCAAGGCGACACAGGGAAGAGGAGGCGGGGGCGGGGGCGGCGGCCCCGCGCACGGCGTCGGAGTGCGGAGGCCACGGCGCGCCTGGCACGGTGGGGTCGCCGCGGCGCCGCCGACGCCACCGCGATGCACGCAGATCACCGCCCGAAAAATCAGGTCCACTACCTCCGTCGCAAGTCACCGGCGATCCCTATCAGCTCCAAATACGCACCGCCACCCTTCTCCCTGCGCCCCGGCCCGACGAGGCTGAGAAATCACACGCTATCCTCCTCAGATCAAACGGTGCAAATTGGCAAATAAACGCTGCGGATCCAACTTTTTTTTAGATTTATTTTTTTTAGGAGACGTACAAACACAATTCGTGTGAAACAGGTTGGTGCCTCGATCCTTTCAATTAACGTCGCGACAGAGCGTAAAATGAACTCTTACACGGCTCTCGACTGCGACATGGAAACCAACACAACTCGGCAGATCGATGGCAAAGTACGGCTACTTCAAAGCAACAGTCAGAGGGTCCTGAACTTCAGATATTTTAACTACAATCAAATCCTCATAATAAACACTTAACTGCAACGCTCAGATAATCAATATCATTGATGTTCTGTCAGAAAAACACCACAGACCAAACTCAACGAACGAACCCGATTACAACAAAAACAATTTCTTCCCCGCTTTACAATCCAAAATCAAAATAAATTAAACGACTGTAAAGTGCAAGTTAAATTTGCACCAGTGATAGCAACAAAACAAGCATGCTCAATATGCGGAACTGTCAAGGGCAGTACTCACTTCTGTGTGGGAAGCAGCTTCAGCGTTCTTTTCTTCCCTCGTAGTCGACTTCTCGCAATCTACATAATTCCCATCTTTGTCTTCTCCTGGACTTCTCTTAGGGTTTTTATTCTTTCGCGCACAATACTTCAAGAAATAAAAATGAATTTAATTAATTAACACGAGTATAATGCACCTGCGGGCATTCGTCACCATCTTCATGTTTATTTAAATGTTGGGCTCCCCATTCGACTGTCTTGACTTATCCCCCAAATGCAAGAGTTCCTATTTAAGCACCGACTGTATTAAGCAATTTTTCAATCAAGATAAGATATTTCTGAGGAAAAAGTGACTAAACTATACGCTCTTTACATACGCTCATACTCATATCAAACACACATCCATCTAGACGCGCGCACTCACACAGCCACACATGTGTATCACTTGTCGAAATTCACCTTTGGACAGAAACGCCGCACACGCTTAACCCCAAGCAACAACGCGACAACCGCTCCTGGACCGACTGACGACAGAGGCCTCCAGGGGCTGGAAGCGTGCGAAGGTAGCGGTCCCGAACGGCAATAACTCAAACGACAACCAGCGCTACCAACTTCCACGCCCCACTTCTTCGTTCCCCCAATTGTACGTTATCAATTCTTTACTAGCAAATTTCTAGGTTTTAAAACAATTCGTTCTCTATCCTCTAGTACTCCTTTCCGGCACATGATAACAAGTAATGGGAACCCAGCTTCGTAATTACAAACACAAGATGAAACGAACGGTTATTCTATTCATACGAACTACATAGGTTTGTGAACTTGTCAATGAAAACGCGGAATTTATGAAGACTACGATTAAACGAACGAGCCGCACTTACTTCATACTTTTACTTTGAACTCTGCGTGTCATTTCAAATATGGTTGCATTTAATATTTTTGAAACAACATTAATCTTTCCAATTTCATTATCTATTAAATACCACATTTTATGAAATTTCATTCCCAAGAGCGTAGAATGAAGTTTCTTAAAATTATTTAAAGCTTAGAATCCACGGGCCTTCATTCTATTTCAATGCACATTGAAAATGTATTTCAGAAATTTAATGTTATGAAACACTCATATGGAGATATGAACCAAAATAAACAATAATTTTGTTGCCTTTCTCCATCATTATCTTCAAATATCTTCTCAAAGCAATGAAGAGAGAAAAAACTTCCGGCATTCCATTTTTTACTATTGAAGCAAACCATTTTATGTACTATATATTAGTTCAGGGTGAAAATCTAGTTACTTTACACTTGCACTTTTTACAGATTTTATTTGTATGGGGAATACAAAAATCATAACACGCATTTGTTATAGATGACTTAAAATAACCCCATTTACAAAATAAAGACTAAGAGCCAAACAACAAAAGCCAGTTATAAATACGTAAGACTTAGTATTAGTTACCCAGACTTAATTATGTGTAGATACATTTTTTTTTGGAAAATTAATTTTAATCCAAGAAATAATTAGGTATTGTCATTCACTCTTTAGAAAATTTCATTTCTAGCACGAACGTACCTTATACCAAGTCATAGGTATAATTTTTGTCCACTCATCCACCACTGTATCACACAAACAATGCATTTTGATTTTAGTTGATATTGTGGACACATAGAGAATTCTAACAAAGATAACACACCAGATTTAACAACGCATGCACGCATATAAGGCATACATACATGAATTTCTAAAAAATTCAAATTCCAGAGGTTTCTCCTGTCCCTTTCAGTATTTTTACAAGGAAAGGAACTGAAATGTAGCATACCATTAACAGTCTTAGAAATAAGGCTGTCAGCTCTATGTAGCAATATAAAGAGATTCCGTTAATGCTTTTTAAAAAAATATAAGTACGTTCGTGCTCAGGCAGGCTCTGTAGCAGATGCCTTTGTCTTGAAACCAGAGAACAAAACAAATTGTACATGAAAATGGCCTATCACATTTTCCTCTATCAAACCTTTATTTAAATCTTTTTTATATATGTATATATATATCAGTGCTCTTTATTTGTTTATATACTCTTTTGTCTATAACTGAATACCAAGAATAAAGTTCACATGCTAGCCATCGCACATGCTCAGGCGCTCACACATACACTTGACTCACATACAAACACTCCACATTGAGAGATCGTTCTAGCCAGCCCACACTCCCAGCGGTGGGGCTGCTGCCTGTTCAAACTCAAGTCTTCCGTTAACACAAACACAAATTTTCTTTTATTAAACTTCCTGCACAGAGTAAGCGTAACTGACAATTTTTCCCTTTTGTAACTTTAGCTCGCTCATTAAAATTATGTCTTTCTCATAAATCTTTCTTTACTGTACAGTTCTTTCACTTAATTTTCATAGTTATAGAATTGGTTTGGTTAGGGACGGAAAAGGGGGAAAATATTTATAATTTGCTTTTTCTTTATAGGGGTCTCACTACAATGTAGTTTGCTTAAAATGTACTTTCAAGTAGTAGACATAATCCAAAGCATTTTGAGGCAAGATGCAGACAAAAACATAGAGGATTAATAAAATTTTCCTAATTTATTCTTCACTATTTTCTTACTGTTAAACTCTGAAGATGGAAACTGTGAATCATTACAATCCAACCACATTCACAATGATACAATTCTTGACAATATGAGAAATAAAAAATTCCAAATTATGATTACTATTAAACACAAAATTTCATTTGAAACCATAAGTATTTGCAAGGGATTGGATACTTATACAACCTGCAAAAGCAAGATTCATTCTTCATGTTCAAATTCTTGCCTCCAAGCAACGCAAGAACATTTTTTTGAATAGTCATGGTTCAAAAAACTAAAAGTGCATTAATAGTAATTTGTATCAAAGACAGGAAAAATAACGTGCTTTTTGTGTGTGTATCTGTGTGTGGGAGGAGATACTACCAATATAAAAAAATGTAAGATTTATTACAATACTTTTATGTGGGATGACCAGCATCATTATCTTAGCTTTCCCTCCTTTCCTTATATAACTCGATCCTGATCCACCACAGACCTGTGGTCATACAACTCACGTTTCATTTCACACATTTTGACTACGGTACACACAATTTGTTGAAACATATAAGCTAATCCCTGCACATACAAATTCATCATTTTCCAATTTTCAATAAGCACTGCCTAGCATGCACATTGCAAGGCTTAGTAACAATAGAATGAAGCAGTACAGGCACACATTTTGAAACATGCCTAGATATTAACATTTATCTTTAGAAGATAAATTTGAACAGAAAAGTACCATCCTGCCAGTGAAAAGTAATCCATCACAACCCCAGTGCTAAAGGCACACAATTAAATTTCTCACTCCTATAAACATCACTCCAAAAACTGGCCTTCGCATTTAACAGCCACCTATCAAACAGTAACATTCAAACACTGATGTTCCATAATTCTGCAGTGAACTCTACAAAGTTCTACAAAACTTTGAACGAGCAGATAACTGAGTATGACTTTGCCTGCATCCTGCCCAACAATAAGAGCGCAGCGATAAGACAATAAATCTAACAAGTTTGGATCCATAGAGGGGGGAAATTCCTTCACTGATCGATTTTGTGAATATGCACTCGATTTAAAAGAACCATTGGATATGAAATTCTAATGGATGAAGAATTTCAGATTCTCCAGACAGAACCAATTTACATAACTAATGGTCCATTGTGCTTTCGACCAAACCTAGAGGCATACTATTCCCCCCAAATATTAGGGAAAAAAAACAATTCACTGGAGGTTTTTCAGTCTTTACCCATTTTAAAAATTATTCTAAGCAATTAAATCATAACATACTAATTAATATATTAGAAGAAAACAGGTAGTGCACAAGTACACATGCATCAGTATGCGTATGTTTGGAAATGCACATACTTGTTTAACCTATACATTAACTTTGTTTTGTACTGTACTGTACTGTAGATTTTCATTGTATTTATGAGAAGTAATGACTATGAAAACAGGGTGTTGGTTGCTGGTTTCACAGATAGAGGCTTCTTACCCCCATCGGAGACTTAGTCGCACCAATGCTGGTCACTTTCAATGACCAATATTCTTATCTTATGACAATCAAATATGTTAGTAACAATAAAATGATAATACTAAATAAAATATATTTATATATTTATATATATTCATATATCTCAGTTTAAAACTATGGCAAAGGTACCATTTACATATTTTTGGTTGGCATCTAATGCCAAATTATTCCGCTTTAGTTCACTGCTGAGAAAAAAATAATTATCAATTACTACACGATATGAGTAATTGCAGCTCAAAGAATTAGTAATATAAAAGTAACATGAAGGAATAACATTTCCAGAAGACTATATGTTTCATTGGGTAAATTGCATACATGCATGCCTCAACACAGACTAAAGAGCCAGACCTTCCAAAGACTCTCAGCAAGACACATCACACGTCCAACAGAGGCAATTGCAGTGTCTAATACGATATCCAGACACAGAAAACAATCACACTACATAAACCATAAATGTGGTGCTTCAGGAAATATTGTTTTGTGTTCTCTACTGTTCAACAGCATGTAATAAGGCATCCCAAAGATGTCTTTTTGAAAATACGTGAGCAAAGATTCATCCAGAAAAATTTGATGTAGTTCTATATTAAAACAGGCATGTAAGCAATATACTCAGCAACAGCAACAAAAGTATAATAAATAAGTGAACAGCACAGACTACAGTACACACCTGTTTCAATCTGTGACTGGAAACTGAAATTACTGATTTTGTTGTGAAGCTATGGAACAGAGAAAGAAGGGAATAGTGTTCCCATCGGTTATACATTCAGTGGCTTTTTCGCCTACAGAAAATCTGTGCTGACTGAACCTGCTCCACTGAACACAACAAAGGATGACAAAGCAACAAGATCTCAATCAACATTGTGCACTGTCATAGATGCACATATGATGCTCATAAAAAAATAAAAATACAAAATAAAAAAAGAAAGGCCTGCAGTATGCAAGACAAAACAAAAAATAAGCATAATCTTACTGTGCTTTGTTAACTAGGAACAAATAAATGCAGCACAGACCAATCCCTCTAGATACTTTAAAACATACCAGTTGCACTGATAAAAAGAAATAAATAGACTAGAGTTCAAGTCTTCTCAAACTAGTTTTCTAGTTTTTGAGTAGAATTCATCATTCAGTAAAACTCATCCCTGGATATACACACAGGTCCCCAACACACCACACAAAATATGTTCTCAGAAAAGAACAAAAATAAAATACTACAGCCAAAACTTGAACCATAAAATTGGCTCATGAAAAATACCTAACAGTAGTACAAGAATACATAAACGTAGAGAAATAATGAAAACCAAGATCTTTCACTTTCCCAGTCCCTTGGAACAAAGTGTGAGATAAAAATAAGCAGTAGAGTTCATCAAGACAGTGCACAATGGTGTTCTCGGCAGTTTGCCTGTGATGCAGATCACATTACTGTTTACAACAAAAATCTACATGACAAAGAACTTTAAATCCCTGCATTTTCATTATTGTGGTCATTACTGAGGGAGGGGGCAGCTCCCCCATGTGGCACTAGCGGTTTGCTGGCCGGCGCAGCACTGGGGCTCAGCTCCCCATTCACTGGCTCGGCACGCGCCACTTGCTGTAGTGGCTGGAACGCCGACCCAAGGCTGGGCCTCAATTGGAACGTCACACAAGGCTTCAACGGGCAGTAATCCAGCTTGCTCAGGTCGATCATAGGTCGTCTGAAAAAACAAAAAGCAAATCATGTGCACTATCAGAGACAAGAATCACATCAGAGAAGAAATTTTGGGTGGTCAATAGGCTATAGCAATCGCAATCTAATACTACCAAAATCGTTACAAAAGCCAAAACCATGTAATACACATTTCAATTATTTACTAACCGAATTCTTGTTGACTCTTGGAAATGTCATGCTAGAGATAGATAATCAATTCTAAGAGACAAATATCAAACCCCAAAACAAAAAGAATTGAAGTAACTGAAGATAGTTCAATTTTTTCAAATATCATTCCAGTGAAAAGCAGACCTTCAACCTTTCTATATTTTTCATGGAATTCTGATTTTTAACAGAAATTTAATAATATTTTGTTTCCCCCCTCACAAATTACAAAATATGAAATAATTAATATTTTCAATAAGTTTTTTTCATGGCTAAATTATCAAAATTTCCTAACTTTTGTACTCCTTATCAGCTACATTTTCCTTCTGAACAACATGTAATGGCAAAAGATTGAAAAAATCTGATACATAAATGACTGCATACTCGCATTGATTAGAAGACTACTCAAAATCTATGTGTTTTAGTATATTCACGGTTATTGGGCAGCAATGAAATTCGGTTAAGACAATGAAACACTCAGATCCTTACATCCCTTTTCAATTGTTATCCTTCTTCTTTTGTTCTATGCAGACAAAAGCCAGATTTTGATTATACTTGCACATTATAAGACAAATCCAGAGTCCTGAAAGCTGTCTTCATTTCTACTGCACATGCTACTATGATTGTTAATCACATTATACGCTACGTTCGCCAAAATTCTAATAGATTAAAGACTCTCACGGGTATGGTTTCTTCTATGTCCTGGTTTGGACACGCTTGTCAAGTATCCTATTGTTAAAACGTTCTCCCTCAAGTTTCAGTATCCATTTGCTTTGACACTGTCTTGGAGAAATTTGATTTGCTTGTCTGAGATAACGTTCAAGTAATAATTCTGGCTGATATTTCACAATCTCTGGGGCAGAATATGTAAAGAAGACACACTTAATGCTTTACTGAGTGGGGGTTACCTAGAGCTTCTGTTCAGGGACGCTCAAGTCATACACACAAAATCATCAATGCCCATACATCTTATTTAATTCAAATCATTCTTCAAACACTCCCGATACCAACAAGAAAAATGTTTGAAAATTTCAGTGAAATTGGTGCCAAAGTGTTTCCAGACTATGTGATTAATGACAATTAAAACCAATGCTCTCGTTAATGTACAGATTATTTGACAGTGTTCACTAGCTGCATATTTATTATTCCTCTCTTTCATACAAAAGACAAAATATTTCAGCTTCCCACTACAATAGATAAAGATATGGACCATGGAACAATTAGATCATAGTTCTCTGAAACAGTGTTCAGATGAACACAATTCAGAGCACTACTGCTGACAGTGAAAATAGTGACCTCACTGAATTTCACTCTGTATGAAATATAAAACAAAGTTGGAGGCACATGATGAAAAGCAAGTGTAAACAAATATATTAACCAAAATACACATAAACTAAAAGAAACAATTGAATGTTTACTTTCAAAACAAACTACAATACATACAAAGTAGAATACAGAACCGCTCAATACTGGTATCACAAATGTATGCAAGTAATATGGCAGCAAACAAATTTGGTTGAACTAAGCAAAGGAAACGAGTCACTAAGGCACTCACTTTCCATCTACATTCCACTTGAAACATATCGAAACCTACAAGACATTGTATCCTTGCAGAATTTTGACTCCCTACAATCCAGTTTTAGATTCAATTAATACGAAGTTGGACCTCACTATTAGAGCCGAGAGTCCTGTAAAGTAGACTGTGGAAACGCAAAACCTGTTTATTAAAATTTAATACACATGCAGTGCATGTATTTTAATTTCTTTTTACAAATAGAGTTTAAAATATTTAAAATACATTTCATAAATTATTTTTCAATTCAAAACCTGTATTTTATAACTCATTTATTTACACTGCAACATAATTTCCACAAAGGCTCCAATGTCGATATTACATGTAATTAAATGATACTCTAGTTCATATTTTCTGATTAATTACTTCAAATTAAATATTTTAATTTCTTTTGATAAATGAAAAGAAATTTAATATTATGATTCAATCTTCCTAGTTATTTTTTATATTGTCTGGTCCTTATTCTAATAAGGCTGAATTTGGAAAGTTTCCAGATTAAGGAGATAATTCAAAATCCATAAGTTATCTGGCAAAACATAATTCTTCATTTACATATTTCCCATGAGAAGCTACAAATACACATAGGTAGCTGTCTTCCATTGGTTACATTGATATTTCAAATTGTTTCATGACTAATATTCAGAAGTCCAACCTAAATTAATATTTTAATAATACCTTGTTTCCTCCACAAATTTGAGGTTAACCTTCTCACAGCCGTCAGGCGGCTCTCGCGCCAGGAACTTGTTAATGTGTGGGGATGTCCCCAATTTCCCGGCCTCCTGGTCGGGTGATGAACCTCTGCTGCAGCCTGTTAACATTTATTCCTAGTTCAATATTTAATTTAAATATATAAAAAAGCATGTATGTATGCTCATACATACAACTAATTATATCTGGCCCTGAATCAGTCTAGTCCATTTCAGTAATCTGGCTGTATGAATACAAGAGTGCCATTACTAACAGTATATTGTAATCATGCAGGTTGAGAAAAACAGTGTTACAGCATCTGATATTCTTTCATTATAAAAGCCACAGGAATCTGTATTAAAACCTTTTTTTAATGCTAGAATTCAAAACAAAAAAGGGCATTAAAAAGGTTTTTCCTGTTAAATATCCTTGTCCAATGTATTATATTTTTAAATTTTGTTTTGTAACAGTAACATTTTCACATTTCTTAATTAAATATCATTGTGTTCTTGCAGTATGTCATTCTTATAAGTTTTATCAAATAATTTACTACACATTCTATTTTTAACCAATAACCTTTTACAACAGATGCTCTCTTGACAAACAGAAATCTCTGAAAAGTTATCAGCAGGGACTGGATTTATATGCACTAACATCTACAAAATGTGTCTGAATTTATGCAGTTCAAAATTATGAATGAAGATATGCTCTGTGAAGTATATGAACCCATCATAGATTATTTTTCATTTTTAGGCACAGTAAATTAACATGACAGTTTACTCTTAGTGTACTGCACAATGAAATTTTGAAGAATAGTTTTAGACATCAGTGTTATTTACTTTAGACAATGGAATGTCTGCCATTAAATACATATAACAATTAGCAATGTAACCACACTTACACAATTCTGTGAACACTTTACCGGCCACCTTCATAAGACAGGGATTCATAAAACGGATAGACGGAAACATAATATTTTAAAGAGTCATGATTTTCCTGTTAAATATAATGGTAAATTCAGATCAGGAAATTTATATTAGCTACAAAGAACCACACGGTCAGAAACACACATTACAAAATTTAAAACAAAAAACTTATATTTATATACCATATTTATTTTAATGAGTAATGATCAATGTTTCTGAGCAAAATATGCAGAATATAAGAAATTTGCAGAAATATGTTCCTTTTTAAAAACACAGGCAAAAGATGCAACATTTAAAACAACATCATATCATGTTTAAATAATTGTAATTTGAGTATTTCATGCACATTGTACACACTTGTGAGCATACTTTCTGATTTCAAGGGAAAACTATGCATTTGTGTAGAAATCCGATCACTAGTCATCAGAAATCAGAACGCTTGATTATTAGAGAGTAAAATCAATAAATATCACAAAGTTCTCTTCCATTTGATGATAAATAAAAAGCGCAAATTTCATAGAAATTATTTTTTTCTTTCCACTAATGCATCCAAAATGCTATTACAGAATTACATCGACATTTGCAATCTATGCTGTTTTATGTTTACTCGTTAGTATGCCATGAGAAAAAAATCGACATTCATTGTACTAAAAACCTGTTAATTTCTATTACGTCCTTGCTATCAAGATGATCATGGTTAGAAAATTTAAGATGCTTCAAACGAAATGGACATAGATGTTGAGAAAATAGGAAAAAGAGTTCTCTCACTCAGTCATAGGATGAATGATCAGCCATTAGGCCTTTGAAGTTTTCCAGAAACATCAGATACTATATTGGAATTTTTAAATACATTTGTATGTTGAACATAGATTTTTTTCTTTTGTAAAATGCAAACCATGATATAACATTCAAGATTTTGTCTTACAAATTTGAATTGTGTAAAGCATTCCTTCAGATTGTCAATATCCTGACGTGTCTGCACTACCTATCTTCTCTGTGGAAAGTAGCCACATCATGGCCAGTGCCATGCCCTTATCTCCTCTTCCTGTGTCAAATTAACTCTTTCGAGATCAAGCATTGTCTTACTTAAAGCCTCAGCCACAGAAAGGCAGCAGTGACTTTATCCAACAATGATGCACATACCAATGCACCAGGAAAGATACATTTTTTTAAATTATCATTGAGCAGGAGAATGGTTTTTCATGGCAAAAGACAAAAGTGATTTACTCCATTGTCTGGGCAACTATTTTTTGAAATTTGTACAAGTAAAATGTGTATATTTTCTAAATATATTTCTTCACCTAAATAAAAATTGATTATTTTCACTGTGTGTCACCATTCTAGTGAAATGATGATAATCCTATATTCTGCAGCCGAAGATATTTGTTTACAGCACTATAAATTAATAATTCGATTTCTTCAGATCTTTTTTAAAAGCTCCAAAGAGAAGGAATATTCCAAGAGGAACTACTAGAAATTCCCCTTCCACCAGTGTCTTCCTTTTTAGTAGACCTCAGAATAAATGTCACAATGTTCTAGGACCCACAAATGACAGCTTTTTGCCAACAAACAGAAAGAGAACATTTTTAGCTCGCTGTTGCTTTTGGTTTTGATTTTGCAAAAATACAAGAGGCATTTTCTCAAATTGTCACAAAACGCGATATTCAGTAGATACATGAAATCCCCTTAATAGTGACACAATGTGACTTGCAGTACACAGTTGCTTAAGGTGCTCCCTAAAAGACAAGGGGGAAGTCACATGTAAAACTCTGTTATATGAAATTTCCCACTCTGACTTTATTGGCCAAGAACCTCCGTACATGCCCAAGAAGATTTTAAAATTTATTCTGAGACTCCTTTTAATTATATAGATGGGACATGTCTCAATGCTGCACTTTATTATAGGCTGCACTAATGAACTACTACTACTTCCAAATATTGCACTAATTTAGCAAGAAAGGCAGCTTTTATTACAAAGGAATCTAATGCAAACAGTCATTTTTTTGCACTTCATTACCCTTACAAAGAGAATCACCAAACTCCAAAAACAATCTCAAACTGATAATTTCAGTAAAACCGGCAATCTCTTACATCAGGGTGATTTGTAGCAGAAATAAGTAAGAACCCCAAAACCTAAATCCAGGTTTAGAAATAGTACAACAGATAAGGACAGTTTTACAAGATGATTCCCATACACAGCAAACAATTTCAAAGTTATTCAGCATTGAATCCCCAAGTTCACACGAGATTGATAAACAATTTTCTGCACATAAGGTCAATTACATACAAAAAACACCAGAAAATTTGAAAAACTACACTGAAGCATTGTTGCCCATTGGAGTTCAGTAAAAGGCACTTTAGCTTGTGCACATTTTTCATTTTAAGTGAATACTTTCCTAATTTTTTTGGCATATTTACATGGATATTTTAATGATTTTTAGTGCATACACCCTACACATTACAAACATTAATTTCAGACCATCCTCCTTAAAGTAGTACCTCCTTGAGGCGATCAAGCATGGTCCATTTCAGAACATGCTTGATACTGAAAGGACAGGAACACACCTGTGCTATTCAGCTAGTGTGGTGGAGGCTTGTCATCAGGAGAGACACAAATACAAATTTATTTTTATTTCTTAATTTTTTCATTAGTTTCTTAATGTTTATTCAATTAATAGTATTCAAATGTTTCTGTGATTTATGAAGTCTGATTCATCGGCAATGTTAATTCACTTCCACACTTCTTTATAACCCTGCACTCTATGTTACTAATCTCTGATCTCTTCATAAATTGTAAGACAACTAAACAGCCTATGGCCATGCGAGAGGTGTCAACGATTTTATTATGAACCCAGGAGCCAAGAAGAATTCAAAAACAATAACACACACTTGACTTTCCCTAAAACAAAGAACAAATACTTGATTATGTTATTCCGCCTGTTTTCATACAGTGCATAGGGCAGAATACGCCTTCTCAATGCATCACTGCATACAACACAGCTGACAGCAAGAGTGTGAAGCAGTGACAGTCCCTATTAAATATTTACTATTCACATGTTGTGTTACAGAAAAGCAATTTTATGTTCTTGGAAGTATTTAAAGAACTACTGCACTGTTTGAATAGGATACTACATTATCGCCGTACTTGTGAACACTATTTTTCTTGAAATATTTAATTTATTGTAGTATTGTATGAAACTTTTTTATTTATAGTTCATAATTCAGAGTGCATGCTACTTTTTGGAAAACCATTTTGTGTGGTTTTGTTCAGCAGCACTTTTGGTGCTACAAGTCAGTAGTCCTGTATATCATTCGGCTTAATTTAATCTTACTTCCAATACTCACCGTGCAGATCACTGGGCGGCCGTGACAGATCCAAGGCTCCAGGAATAAGAGGGGAGGCAGACTCCCGAGAGGGAGGACCTGCACAAGCCAGTGAAAGGTAGGCAATGTAGAACAAATCAACTTTAAATATTTTAGATAAAACTTACAAATATTAATTGTTTATCATGTACACCTAAACAAAGACTCATAATGGAATTATTGATCAAGCTGTAGCACTATTGAGAGTTTATTTTATTTCCTAGACATGCACACACAATGTCAGAAAAAATTCTATTACGTAATTCATGGAAAAACTACACAAGCGACCCCTTGTTTGGAGATGTTTTTAAAATACCAAGAAATAATGCATGCAATGTCATTTTTGCATTAGTTCTTGGTAGAAGGAAAGTCATTCTACATCTTTTATCTACAATCTGCCTCACTCAATTAGTATGAGTGTATGTAAGTTTGTCGTTTTTCATTATTTGTATTTGTATTGCTACATTTATTGTATATAAATGTAAAAAAGATTCCAAAAATGTCAAAGGAATGCAGAGAAAGGAGCTCATATTTGAAGAAGAAATTTATGAATATCAAGGTGTCTACCCATTATACATTGTATTGTCTTCAGCTAAATTTTCCTTCTGAATTATATTAGCTTACAATAGGTGTAAGGTAAGTCCCAAGAATTTAAAATTTGCGAGAAGGATATGTATGAGATTCAATTCTACTTAACATAATTGCTAAACCATTGCTTTTATGTCAGATAAACATAAATAAATTATTCTAAATAATAAATATTAAATAATATAATAAATTATTCTTCTCAGAATTAATTGTATTTTCATGCCCTGTACGTTTTCTCCAAAGAAAGAAAATTTGTAATTGTTGTATGAAGAAATTCAGGTGAATGGAACAACTTTTGCTAGGGTTAACACAGCCAAGCTTTTCACTTCTGGGAAAAATGACTTACATTTCAAGAGGTATATGAAATATTAAGTAAAACATATTTAAAAATACACAACTCAAGCATTAAAGCATCCTAGAATGACTTGAATTGATTTTCAAATTAAAAATTGATCGTTCTTAGATTTCATTAATTACTTTTAAGAATTGAAAATTATCATTACTTGGAATTAGTCTGAGCACAGTAGTGGTTTTGTGAACCTTTCTTCACCAACGTTATACCAAGTGAATTTGAACTAAAATAGGGTGTGGTGGCAGAAACTTCTCATTAGTGGAAATCCAGCTCCACATGTTCCTATATCAAGACATAAACATGTAAAGATTTTAAAGACAGCATTCCATTCAGTATTCTAACAATTGGGCAACTGACAATTGTAGCAATACATTGTAGAGGATAAATCATAATTGCAGTGATTATTGCAAACTGGTCCATTTTGGACTACAAGTAACCACAGTACAAAAACATAATTACAGCACTGTAGATATGAATTGTGTGCAAATACCATTTCATGAAAAAATTCTAATCCTGCTGCTTACAGTATCGGCAGCATAGAAGCAACTCTAATAGTTTTATGTGCTTTTGCCGCACATTACTAGACACATGGTACTACATACACGACAGATAACCAAAATCTCAAAACATTAACGCTACAGACAGGTGAGGACACATCTTGATATCATGTTCCTAACCTTCGCCACTGCTGAACCTTATTATCTCCCAAATGACCCTCCCCTTGTAAACGTGCTGCAACAGCTCCAGGTGGCTTCATTTTCTATTTCCTATTGTCTGACGTATCTGCAGTACAGCCACAAATTTACCCACAACATTATCAAGAGGTAATATGGTCTCGCCATTCACCTTCTCTGCCTCGAAATATCCACTTCAACAATACTCAAATTTATGAGCTTCATTCTTCAACTCTATTCCACATTAGCACAATGTGTGGGTCATAGTCATCAAGAAATTCACAGCCTTGGCTCAATGCACTGATGAGCTCGGAAGTTGTTTGCCAGGCCAGCTGGCGAGCATCAGCAGACACATTTCATTCGCACTGTTACTGCTGATGACAGATCTTTGCACATCTTGAGCAATGTCGCATGAGTCAATGAGCGCCAATGCCGAATCCTGGCTGTGAGAAAGTACACAAAACGTTGCAAGCTGATTGCTTTAAAGCAATTCATAGGACATACTGCACCACATGGCGAGAGAACTGTCAGAGTTGTTTATATGCTGCCGGTACTGTAGTATATTTCGAAGACAAAGTATCTTCTAGTTTAGTATTACTCGTATTATATGCTTGGTCTATTCTGCTTGAAAGAGAAGAATACTCACTGAGAATAACTTCACAGTATTGGATTATTTTGAATATTTTTTTAGAGAAATGAACTGGAGTGTATCAAAAAGCCCAACAATTTCTTTCTCTCATGACATGCTCACACTGGAGGAAGAGTTGCATTCTTCTGCCCTACATTACGATATTGTAAGAGGTCAATCAGAGAAAATTCCATGCATGGCTAAAATGAAAGGGAAAAGTAGTCTAAATCATAGCCACTATTTAGAAAATGTTCCTTTGGTATTATAGCGGGAAGTTCTAAGAATTATAAATTTATAACTGTAGGTGAAGCTTATTCTTCAAAGTTTAAGAATGTTTTTTAATGTGTTGTGCTTCCTGGTAGTCCTTAATGCTATGTCAGAAATTTGCACACAATGCTAGTGATCTTATGAGCAAGCCGGTTTTTACTCTCTCCTGTCGATTTCTGGAAAACCTAGTGTGAAATTTGTTCAAACAAAATGAATTCAGCTCTTTCACAAGGGCTAGTTCGACCCCTGTGAAGTGCCCTAAAGCCTACAGTTATCCTAATTCTTTCCCAATTCGGGCAGATGGGTAGTGAAGCAGGAGCACATGAGGTGCGTACACAGAAATACTAACTGGTGGTCCTCTTGCCTCTGAGATGAGACATGACATATAATGACAGATACTGTTACTGCAGGATTGGAATCTATAAATATTGAATTTTTTTACCTGCACTAGACCTTCAATATGGAAGCTAGAGATTTATTTCATAATGCTATCTATTCCTCAGTACCAGATTTTCGAAGCCTTTTAGGAACATTTTTCGAAATACTAGAAGCTTTGTAATAATTTTAACTTCAATTGTGAGAATTTAGTTTGATTCCACTGTCACTTATATTTTCAGTAGTAGCATGCATCAACCCACCTAGCACACGAGTGCATTTCACTACTAGAGCAAAGGCTGGGGATTGACTACCACAGGAAAATCTTTTTCTTAAATGCTCCCCCCAGATAAGACCAAACTGCACTTTTGTTTACATGCCTAATTTTCATTCTAACCTGTGAACTATTAAAAACAGCAAATTCAAGTCTCCCATTCTTTTGGTTAAGCGTGTATTTTATTACAGAGTAGGAAACAATTTATAATATTATTATTTAACACACTTATTACTGATGATACAAGGAAGAATGTAGTTACACCTGTAGTTATAATTAAAGATCTGTCTTCAAACAAGCAACTCTAGTTACTTCATACTGCAAAGAAAAATAATTTTTACCACCAAAAGAAGAAGGTGAGATCAAAAATCTAGGAATGTAATAAAATTATTAATTGTAAAGAAAAATGTTGGCCAATATTTTTGTGTTTATAATAGAATGTAATATAAGCAAAAATGTTTAAAATACTTATATTCAATAGTTTTTGTAAGATTTTTTTGAAATCCATGTCTTGTCAAAGCAATACCATAAGTAATATAAAGAATCTGATGTACACATATAATGAATGTTTAAAGTACATAAAACCCATTACTTAAATATCAAGAATTAAATTTAATATACATTTTTCTCTCTTTAATAGTTTGTTTTATATTAACCCCATTTTGAAAATTAAAGCTGTCATTTATTATTTATTCTTTTATATTATTCTTCATTTTATCATTGTGCCAAATTCAACTCTCTTCAACAAAAGATTTAAAATAAATATTTTCAATTCATTTTACACAACTCTTACGCAAGATTTAGGCATTATATGATGTGCTTACCTGAAGACTGGGAGCTGCCAGTGAAATCTCCACCAGCAGGTGTCTGAGTGTTAACAGAGCGAGTGGAACGCAACAGATCTGCCAATGGTGCACGATGACCTTCAGGGGTGGCTTGATAGGACTGAACATAAAAGCACAACAAAACATTATTATACATCTCTTCAGAAAATCTTTAAAAACACTACGAACTTGAGCTTAAAAAGAAAATTACAAGTAATGATATCACTGTTTTTCATTTCCCTCAATATCTTGTTAGTTCATTGGATTTCAATATTTGCAGTAATATTAACACCACATCAATTAATTCAATGAATAATCAAATCACTTGGGTTAAAGATTTAACTCGAAATAAACCTGACAAAATAAAAAAATATTCAAAAATACACCAAAATTAAAACGAGCTCCAGTTTTACCTTCTCCTCCTCTCGCTCAGCATCCTGGGGACCAGCAGCTTTCAAAACAAGTCGCTCTATCTCCTGGTTGAGCCCTTCGATGGAACTCCTCATGGGTGGGCGAGGCACCACCGGCTTCACTGGAATGTTCACCGGCACTGCCTTTGGCAGTGGGGCAGCTGTAGAAGACCCAGCTCCTGCACCTGCATGGTGTTAGCAGCATGTGTACCATACTTCGACAAGTTTATACCACAAACACATCTAGTTCCTAATGCTGTAAGTCATTTAAAATGTTTAGCACTGTTTGGCCCTGTACCTGTACATTTCAATATGACATCTTTTACCAGTTGGTATTCATAACCTAATATACAACTGGCAAGTCTACACAATGAATTCAAAGCTTTTGAAAAATTTAGTCCATCCTCCATTATCCCCATTTTTGTCACAGTTGAAGATCGTTAGAACACAAATGGTTATCTGAATCAAATTATATGATTTTTTAAAGCATGAAGATAAACACATTCACATGTAATACAAATAACTTAGTGTTATCATGTAGTAATTGTTATAACTTAATAGTTATAAATCCAAAAAGAAAATTTTAATTTCAAAGACTGTTGCATTTTTGCAATTTTCAACTAAATTTCCAGCATACATTTTTATTTTTCAGACCAAAGACTTCTTTATCTAAAGCATTACAATTATTTGTTCTAAAACAACACCTAAGAACTCATTTTATCTAATTTCAGTTATTTTAACAAAACAATGAATTTTGAAACCTGTACTTTGAACAATAATCGTTCACTTCAGACTGTGTGAAATTAACTGCAAATCAATGCAATAAAAAATGAAAAAAATATCCAAAATTTCAAACATAATAAAATTCATGCATGTAATTTGAAATTGATAGTTGAAATGGAAATACAAAGTGTAAGCACTTCATTATGATGAGCTGAGCACTTCGAATTATTGCCACACAGCTAGACGCAACCTACTTCAAGTTTATGCTTTACAACATCAATCGTGATGTCACATTCATATTACCTGGGATCCCAAAGAAAAAATGAGTACACAAAAAGAAAGAGGAAGAGGAGAGAGAGCACAGAAGATGAAAGAAGAGAGATAGAAAAGAATAACAGGAAAGAGGAGAGAGAAAAGAATGATAGGAAAGAGGAGAGAGAAAAGAATGACAGGAAAGAGGATACAAAAGTGAAGATGAGGGAACACGACACAAAAGTGAAGATGAGGGAACACGACACAGAAGTGAAGATGAGGGAACACGACACAAAAGTGAAGAAGAATGAAGAACAAAGAGGAAAGAGGTTCTTAGTCAACTTAAGTCAATGCGATGCATTCTGTATTCACAAAAAAATTATGAATTTCTTGTTTCAGAACTCCTGTTTCACTCCTGTATCATTTACTCTTTCAAAATATCATCTTGAATCAAGTACCTATTTTCCAAGTGTTATATGAAAATGCCTCACTATTTTTCAGAAACTCATTCCCTTTTGTTACTGGGGATTCCCACAATTCCAAACAGGCTACTGTAGTTTTCATATTTTCCTAAAGTAACTGAAAATTTTTGAAAAGAATTGCGCTCTCCACTAAGGTTTGTTTTCATCCAAAAATCATGTACAAGTTGCATTACAAAAATTAGTAGTGCATATGCCAATCACCAATCCCTAATATTAATTATGATCATAATGGGAGAGATGTTTTATAATAAAATTTAATCTCTTCATGAAATTACAAAAATCTTTAAAATCTGAGGACAGTTAAGAAATTCCCAAACAAAGATTTAAATTTAATCATGACTCATTCATCATGTTTTATTGTTTTGTTAAAAAATTTGAATATAGAATTACTAAGTAAGTATTTTATAGAAAAGAAAAAGAAAGGAAAGCAGAAGAAAAAGAGAAAGAAAAAAGAAAGGAAAAAAAAGAAAACCACAATTCCCATATGTCAACATTCTCTAACATTTGACTATCTTGCCTTTTTGACAGCAGCCCGAGATATTCAGAGATGAACTATGCCTTAAAATATGTCAAATGTTTTGTATTAATTTTCTCAGTATAATTTTCCAATCATGAACTCTGTTTATTACCAAGCTATTAAATCATAAACCATACACTACGAATAGAAGATAACATGTGATAAGCTTATGTTGAAGGTAGTAAACATTAAGAAAAATCATGGCACTTATAGAGAATAAGTCCATTTCCAACAATTGAAGGTTTTATCCATTTTCAGTTATATATATAACATTCACAAATAGTTAAATAAACTAATTTAAAGTTCAAACTGAAAGATTTCAGAATCAGCAGTAACAAGTGCTCAACCTTTTTCTCTTCATCTAAAATAAATCAAACTGTCTTTCTAAAACAATTTATTCTATTTTCATTTGTAAGCAAATTGTCACAGCCATACTTCAATTCTATCAATTTTTCCTGTGTTATTGACTTGATTTTGAGCTGTATTTATTAATTTCAAAGGTACAGAAATTCAGATCACAGACTAATCCAAATGCTTTTTATTTCAAGAAATGCAAGAATGATGGAAATATATGCCATGAGCTTGACATTATATTTATCATTTACGATATTTGATGTTAAGCCTGAATTACCAACTTATATTAACAGCTAAGCTTTGCTATGTATTACAGCAGTATAAAAATTTATTTGCATTGCAAATAAGCTGGAAAACGAATACTCTTATAACTATTTTGTTGCAAGTTCTATACCAATTGAAAGATTCCAGAATAGACAGTAACAAGTGCTTAAGCATTCCCTTCATTTAAAATAAATCAAACTGTCTTTCTAGAAAAAATTTACTCTATTTTCATTTGCAAGTAAATAGTTTTTCAAAGACAAGGAAGATATTACATTTATTCAATATATTTTATCTGATTAATAATCGAAGATATTGTGATCATTCATTGCGTAATTTACAACCAAAAATTAAATTGTTATTCGCAACACACAAATATACACTACACGCAAGCACACAGATCCGCAGCCACACATACACACACATGCGTATGGAAAGGAATATAGGGAAAAGGATGTGTTGAAACACCTCAAAATGTACTTATCTTTCTGGTAGGAACAGATAAAAATCCTAAATCCTCATTAAGAAGGAAGAAGGGAGAAAGAGAGTAAGGGAGAAATGGGGTAAAGGAAAAGAGGTAAGGGAGGGTAAGGGAGAAAGGGGGTAGGAGGTAAGAGAGGAGGTAAGGGAGAAAAGGGCATTGCATATTTTCCTTGCCTTACATGTTCATAAGCTTTCCCATGTATTCTGAGATTAGCAGGAAAAGTGCTAGAGACACTCACACACACACACGTCTACAAGCATACAGACCCACAGCTACACATACACATGTTCGTGCACACACACACACACGTGTGTGTTGAATAGAATGTAGGGAAAAGGCAGTGTTGCAAGACCTCAAAATGTACTTATCTTTCTAGTAGAATCAGATAAAAATCCTAAATCCTTATTAAAAAAGAAAAAGGAAGAAAGGGGTAAGGAGAAAAGGGGCAAGGGAGAAAAGAAACTCAGAAAGGAAAGACAAAAGGAAAGAAAAATAAGAAGAGCGCTTCTATTAGAAGAACAGAAATATTTCCAAAATTCATTTTTCTGAACAGTAAACTGCAAACTATGTAACAACTGCAAAGATAAAAAAAAACATTTATACTGTTTCCTTATGCCATTTTTCCTAATCATAATTTACATTTAACTCTAGAGATACTGTCATACGGATTGTTAATCGTTAACAGTTAAGTGTATTTAATGTCACAAGAACAGTTATCGAAATAAGCTCATTAAAATGTTTACTTCTAATTAATCAATGACTTGTGTCTACATACATCCATGAGAGTAAATCCACACAACAAGCATTTAGCAATATGTGTATCACACAACAATGTGAATCATTGTTTCAACTAACATTAGACTTCCATATTTCCAGTCAATTTTCCGCATGAAAGTACTTAAGACAATGCCATGTTTTTATTTTCTTGCCCTTACTTCATAAGAAGAGAACATATTACAATTGAGTGCCGGAAAACTGCGAATTTTCAACAGAAAAACTTTGACACGGTGTTGGCCCCCATCTCTACTTGAAGCTAATGCAATTTATAAATCACAAATTTAAAAAAAACTTCCATAATATTTTTTAAAATGTTTTCCATGGATAAAACAAGTGACGATTAAATGAATGGCACAGGTCTCATTAACATTGAAATCTCTGAATTTTTAAAAAAAATTAGAAATAATGCGAGAATGTATGTGCTACATCACTAGTTTCTTGTGATACTCACCTGCAGCAACAGAAGCTACATTTGCAGCAGATGCACCTGAACCAGACATGGTGGCATTATCTGCAGATGGCACAGATGGCAAAGCAGGCCCAGCACCTCGCTCTCTACCACTAGTACCCTCTTTACTTGACCGTTGTATTCTGCAAAAGGATCAAATAAAATTATTTCTTCCCAATGAATGACGCGAAGTAGTTGAAAGGAAAACATTTTTTTCTTTTTATATGAATATTTGGAAAATATCACACAAGTCACAGACAAGGTATTTGGAATTAAATTCCATTTCTTGCAGACATGAGTTTAAGGTGACACCATCACCCAAAGTCACCCAATCAAGAACATCAGCCAAAGGCAAAATTTAACAATTATTAATATTCTTTTAAAACTATCAAGTTAAAAATTCAAACTTTTCACCCCTTTAAGGACATATTTCATCACTAACTGTTTACAATGCTGGTTTACTTTCCACATTTAATTGTATTACAGAAGAAAAGTTGACTTGTACAATAAAAAAAATTATTATTTTTGACACTAAAGATGCAAATGATGTGGAATATGAAAAATGTACTACTGCTAGACAAGGTACATGAAATGGTTTAAGGCAAAAAACAATTGAATTTTGTATAATAAGTTAAGAAGGAATCAACAGGCCAACGTTCAACCCTCAATATACATTTTTATTCTCTTTAACTTCTATTCTAACTACATTGTGCCATTCTGTTCTAGGTTCTAAAATTCTAGAAGCAAAGAGAAAGTAGGGGAGGAAAGGCAAAGAAAAGAGAAAACCAGAGAGGCAAGGCAAAGAAAAGAGCATATTAGAGACAAAAGGGAAAGGAAAGAGGAAATTGATGAGGAAGCTAAGGAAAGAGGAAATTAGGCAGAAAAAAGGCAAAACAAAGAAAAACGACAATTGCACAGAAGGACAGGGAATGTTGGAAGAGAAGAACAAGGAATTGTTATGCAGAGGGAAAACTGGATGCATAACGCAAAGAGCGAAAGTTGGACCCACAACGCAAAAAGGAACCAAGGAAGAGGAAATTTTGGACGGGAAAGAGAAAGTTGCACACCGGCGGGAAGGGGAAAGTTACACACCGGCGGGAAGGGGAAAGTTGCACACCGGCGGGAAGGGGAAAGTTGCACACCGGCGGGAAGGGGAAAGTTGCACACCGGCGGGAAAAGGAAAGTTGCACACCGGCGGGAAAAGGAAAGTTGCACACTGTCGGGAAAGGGAAGTTAATACAGGTCACGGAAGATAAAAAGGAAGGAAAGTCGGCGAAAAGGAAAAGTTGGACAGAGAAGGAAAGAAATTGTTGGGGACGGAAGATCTAAAAATTGTTTGGGGAAAAATGTTTGGAAGGTACAGAGGCACTATATGAATAGAATAGTGGAAAGTGGAAGGCGAGGATATCTTTAAAATTAGGCGAGAGAGAGCGGAAGGAAAAGGGTGTGCAGTTGGGTAGGGAGGCTGCTGAGGGTCGCAGTTGAGAGTCAGAGGTTATGGGCTGAGGAAGTGGGGGCGTGGGGTGGAGGTGAGAGGTAGTTGAGGGAGAGGCAGAGGGAGGAGGAATCTGACGGGGAAAGGGCGACAGGTGGGAAACCGGGCGGGAAGGGGGGGCTGGTACGACAGCTGGATCGGCGACTTGGAGTGCCCGCGCGGAGACGTCGGTGGGCGCAAGGGTATAAGGAGGGTGAGGAAATAATGAGTAGATAATAATACTAATACTAATACTAATAATAATAATAATAATAATAATAATAATAATAATAATAATAATGGAGGGTAAGTCATGAGAAGGTGAATGAAGTACTGAGGGGAGAATGAAGTAAGAGAATTTGTATTGGAGGAAACGTCGAAGTGTGGGATAACGAGAGAATGGTCAGGTTTAAAGGTAATGAAAACGTGTTCCTATGAAGAAAAGTAGAAGTAAGAGGCTAAAGAATGAAGTTTGGGGGATAAGGTAATGGATAAGGGACGGACAAGTTGCGATGGAGGCAATATGAATACAAACAAAAGGAAATATGTGTGCTAGATGGTGAAGAGTTAGGAATTAGGGAGGCGAGGTGAGTGAAGAAGCAAAGGAGATAGTGAGTGAGTGAGTGAGTGAGTGAGAATAAGGGGAAGGAAAAGTGACAGCAGGAGGATAAAGGAGAAGAGAGAGATAGCAAGAATGTTTCAAATGTATAGGGTGCCTTTTCATTTAACACTAATTTCTGTAATTGTTTATTTTCTTTTCATAAGAAAATTAAACTTTAATTTAACACTATTTAGATATTTTACCGTATACCATTATGGTATATAAAAACTAATAGTTTAACTTTTTGTAAGGCAGACATTTCATGTAAGAAATCGATTTTAACCATTGCCTTGAATACAACTTAATCACATGGACAAATTGTGAAGATAAAATAAAAATATTTAAATTAAAATTACTTCAACCAAATAATATAGTAAATCCAGATATTCAGGTTATTGTCCATTATTCATAAAAAAACCTGAGAGGCACTAGTGCAGCAACGCAATCAACATTAGTACATTCTAACATTTTATTAGAACATAAATACAATATAAAATTCTTATCAGACTCCCCCCCCCTTTCTCAACTCCCTTTATTTAATTTATACTTCTCTCTAAACTATTGTTTTTACCTTAATTTCAGCAACAATGTGACTGACATTAAAATTAATGTGAATAAAATTAATTCAAAATCAGAACACTGATCCAACAATTGTAAACAAAACATAACTAAATTTAACACTTCCTGAACAATTTCTTATTAAATGCAAAAAGCCTTTATACATCACAAAACTGTGATAAGGCAACATTAAAAATGAACTGCATTTCAAATACGGGACCTTAAGATTGTTTTATAACTGAAAAGTTCAAAGATGCTATATTAGGTTACACAACACACAATAGTCGTTTAGATCATTTTGTAGGAACTCTTCCACTTTCTTTAATTCCAATTTGGCACAAGGTTGATAAGAGACATTTTCAACCAAAATTAGAGAGAAAAAGATATGATTTCCAGACATTACTTCAACACCACCACCTTAGGTATGAATGCAACCATTTGAAAACTCAAAGATTATTTAGCATTTCATCTTCCTCCATTTATGTCCCTTGTTACTCGCAAATTATGAATCTAATTTCAATTCCTTTCCATTGAGCTCAATATAATTGTACTCACCTTCTTCAATGAATGAAACATTATTAGTACCCATTTACAACTGATGGATCTCATGCATTAACTGTAACATGCATCATACATTTTTTATATTTTATAATCCATAACTTAAAACCACACACACAGTATTATGATTTAATTTAGCCTTTCACTGCTTACGAGATGCCACTACCACAGATGGTTGCTGACCTTTTTGCTTCTGTGATCACTCATGCATTATAATCCAATCCCTGCTGGTCAAGCAGGGAATGTTCAAAGAGCCTGTTCAGTGTGAAAACCTGGGCTACAAGCTTTCCTCTGTAAATCTGGGAGGTAATAATCAATAGAGGGATTTTAATAAGAATGTACCTCATTTTGTGAAATATGAAATATGTTCAATGTTTTATTGAAAAACGACAACTGCAGATTGAAGTAGAAAGGTTTTAATAGCAATAAAAAGAGTTACTGTAACAAAGTAATATGAACTAAATTATGTTACGGTCTTCATTAGTATGATTCTGAGACATTGCAAAAAATGAAAACAAAGAAAAGTAATATCTCAATCAAATTAAACAAAGAACTAGAAAAAATTTACTCTAACCAATATACTAATTTCATTACTTTATCTTTCACGACATTTCCGTGCTCACAACACATACGCAACCCCAACAAATTATGCATTTTGGGAGATTTTCCATACTTCCAAAATGTAAATGTGGGTTAAACTTTTCAAATACAATCCATCAAATACATGGCATAATAACTTGTCACTCTAAATCCTTTAAGATATAAAATTCTAAATGCTTATGAAATGTGCTACAAAAAAGTAGGATTATAACTATGAAAAACAAAGATGCATCTAATTGTGAAGAAAATACAGACTCGTGAAATCTTCCACATCATCAATTAACAATATAAAATGCAATACTTAATAATTTTTGTTCCATCCAATTCAAACTAAACCTTTTTTCATACAGTGCAAAAGGAGAAAATTAATAGTTTTCTTACCTATGCCTTATGTATTTCTCTATTTTGTCTTCGTTTCCACTACTTTCAGAGTATCTGTGTGTCTTCCTATTTTCACCAACACATTCCTCAGTCTAAAAATTAAATCAACAGATTGTAGAATATTAATGAACTCTACAGTAAAGTCAGTTTCATTTCCATTTTTTAACATACTTATAAGTGAGCTTTTAAAATAAAAACAAGAACTATTTGTGTAAAAGGGCTCATCAGCAGTGCAATATGTACCTGTGTCGCTTTATCCACCAATAAATGTCCACAGTACATATAGAAGCTCTCCCTCGGCCACTGTCCTTTCAGGTAAATAGCATCCAGAGAAGCTGTACGACGAATCACACTACTACCAAAATTGTGGCTTGATCGTGAATTTAATGTTTTTGATTTCCCTAGTAACAAAAGTAATAAACATTGAAATATTAGGTATTACTACATTTCCTCAATACTTATGTTATATATTTTATTGTTCATTTCAAGGCGATAGGGCAATAAAAGAGATCGTTTTCACATATATAGAGCGAATATACACATAGGATTCCCAGAAAAGTTTATCTTCCCCGAGAGCGAAACCTAATCTGACAGCTCTTTGTCTCGGTTGCCATAATTTATAACACGTCGGGCAAGATCAGCTGTCGTAAAAACCTTTCACAAAACAATCATCATATATCGTATGTCCTCGTAAACGAGAGCAAATCATCAACAACTGTATGCAACAACAAATGACATTACGTATTACCTTTGTAACTCACAGATCCAGGGCTTCTCTGTCCCGATAAAGATGCCTCCGGTGAAAACCTTGTTTTCCACGCAGAAGTCGGCGATAACGTAGGGCTATTACTTTTACTTTTCCGTAAATTGCTACTTTGCCTCAATAAAGAAGACATTGGTAAAGTCGCTCGCATTGGACCCTGCTTGGATGAAGAGCAGGGCGATGATTTTCGGACCCGTTGCGACCCCTGCCCCGACATTTTGTCATGTAGCCAAATGTAAATTTGTTTTACTAACTATGAAATAAATGATATGTCGTTATTGAAGTGACCGCTATACATCCAAACACTTCCACACATCCATTCGAAAGGGCACTACTTTATTATCGAATGTCTTGTTATACAACTACTCTACTCTTTGATGGGCTTTCACGACTTGTCACTTGCGATGTTCTGCTGTCCTCAGCTATTGAGTCACGTGATCAAAATACACAAAGCTCATTGGTCAATGAAGGCGCTAGAATAGCGCCTTACTCAGTGATAGTGGACAATGAAATGATCGTACCACAACAAACTGGGTATTAATATGTGACATGCACATTAATACAAGTAAAATGTAATAATTTTTATGGTTGTTTCATAATCTTTGTTGAATTAAACAGCTACTTCATATACTTTTGGAAATACATATTTCACATACTTTCCAAAAACTGTTACGATATTCTCGAGTAAATAATCCTTGAAATGTTGGCAATAGAATTTTACGCAAATATCGTAAAACACAATGCGGGATGTTGACATCGGAGTAGTAATACGTGAACTTGATGTTGACGTTTTCAAGAAAAAGGTTCAAACTATTGCAATAAACAATGTAAATTAGAAAAAGTATTAAATTACGTAAAGAATTATAGATGACATGAAAACTCTAGTTATTATATTCTTATTATTAGTCAAAGCTAACAGATGGACTCTTTAAAGAGGACTGGGTATTTAAGTGAAAGTTGATTTTGAAATTAATTTTCTTCTTCAGCATTTGAAATTTAAACAATTCAAACAACATTCTTTCTAAGAAGAGGGGAATGTTATTGCATATCCATTATGATTCGTTTGACATCATTCTTTGTTCTGAGCAATAATGTCTCAATAGCAGTGGATGACAAGTTTAAAAATAATGTTTAAAATATGTTTGGGCTCAAATTCCTTGTAAATGAGTAAACACCATGTAACATGCCCAATCTCGTCCTCATAAACATAAGCATCCAGATTTTCTATTCAGCTGCTCCATCTTCTAATAATCAATGTCACTAATTAAAATCATTACCATAATTTTGTTTACTGGATATATTTCCAATTCTAGTACTACATATTTAATAAGATAGTTTATTATTATTATTATTATTATTATTATTATTATTATTATTATTATTATTATTATTAAGAAAAGCATGTAAGAATCTTGAGATTTTAGCAAATTATAATACAACATTCTTTGGAAAATTCTTGTAGCTGAGCTTTTAATGACAATTTTATATCCATTGCATTTAGTGCTTTAATTTATAGGAACCATGGGAGTTCAAGCTTGTTTTTGTTACTTGTTTTACCTGCCTTCTTTTCATATATTTCTTAATAGTTACCGAGTAACTAGCTACTAATTTAAATGTCTCATTCACATTGAGGTGAATATGTACATAGGTATCATTATTGCATAAATAAGTAATTAAAAATTTCACCATGCATCTTGAAAAATTTAATTTACACTAGAGACAGTTTTTAACATATTAGATACATGTATGAAAATGTGTTGCAAGAAATGCTTGTTTGGAGAATATTACCTTCCCTTCACCCAATATTCAAATTAAGAGTTGAATGCAAAGTAGAAGAAAAATATGTTCCTTTAAGAAAAAAATCTTTGGATTTAATACAATTAATAATTATTTAAAAAAATATTAAATATATTTTTGTCAATGTTGTATTTTCTCACTTTTAAAAGCAATTGATATTTACAGTACAATCAGTGTACCCTCCAGACATTTATCTTCACCTACACTTACATATGCATATTTCTTCAAAGAGGCCTAGTAAATATTTTTTTTTCAGCAACATCTATAATCCACAAACCATCTTTATAAATGCATGACATTCAATCTCTTTGAGGATGTCATACTTCAGTGTTATTGAAATAAGCATGATGTACACTGTAATGCTTATCTTCAACTAAACTGAAACTAGTTTATATATACATATATTACATTTTCCTAATATTTTTAGATATCAAATAACAATTAATCCTCTTCCTCCAGTTTCAGGTCAATGGAATCTATCTGAAGGATAATTAAATATGATTTAATTTCCCATCTATAATTAACAATGGAAAAGTAAGATTTCTATTTAAAAACATTTCTTTAAGTAAAATGATATGCTAAAACATATTTCTCTAAGCAAATCAAACACAATGGTTTAAATAACATGCCATGTATTCACTAATGTGTACCTAACATCTAGAAAAACATGCTCCCTTGATTCTTTATGATGTATTACAATAAAAGCTTCATGTTACATGACTGGATTTTATACATAACGGATGCAGGTATAGACATTCAAATTCATTCAATTTTAATTCCTTTTATTGAAAACGTATAATGGTAATTTGTAATAATTACATTTTAAGTACAGTTTGCTTATTAAAATACAATAAGAAACTACTGCCTTTACAAAATAAATAACATTCAAATTACCTTTAAACAGTCTTTTATACTGTCAAAATAAATAGCTTTGCCAATAGAGGTAACAGATATGTGATATAGAGTAAAGCATTTATGACTACTCAAACCTTTGAGCTATGGAAATAAATTTTTTTTGGAGGCCTCATAGGATACAGTTACAATGTTATAAAATTAAACTATACAGATTGTCAAACACTTTCTTTTTGTAGCCTCTAAAAGTGCTTAGGATAGTTTTGCTAACCCAAAAGAACAATTATTTCAAGCACTCAAATGAAGCTACCTTATTATAAGAAATTAAATATAAAAATAAATCTGATAAAAAAATTACATGTGTACATTCTTGGTTTATCAGCAGGTTGTTCTTTACAAATTATATTATTTACTAAACTCATGACTATCTTTATAAGTTTCAGTTAGTATTTCAAAATTGGTGACATTAAAAATGCTCCTGTTTCCATTAGAGAACTTCAATAAATATTATATTTTAAGTAAATGATTCTAAATAAAAATCTATTCTTTACAAAAGAATAATATATTTATGACTCAATGTCAAATCTAGTTTCTGTACACTGTTTTTCTGATTCACACATTTCATATTTTATTGAAAAATTGTTTCCAATAGAACTTCAAAATTTGCATAAAATCAAATTGACTTGCAAACTCCACCACATTTGTTGCTTCACTCTTCTGAAATAGCCATTAAATATAGAACTGTATTCAAAACACGCAAGGGATACTATAATATACATTGTTAGTATTAATTTGGGATGTGAATCCACATTTGATGCTTTTTCTTTGTTTCTGCAATAAAGCTGAAGATAAAAACATGATAAATCTGAAATTAAAAAACAAAAAAGAGGAAGCCAGCATATTGTGCAATGATTCAAATATAATGGATGGACTTTCCATGTAGAAAGCATTAAAAGAAATGCAACATTGTTCTCTGCAACTAGGTCATTTAAGGCTATAATGAAAATATAAAAGAATTTTATGGATAGGCAATGCAATAAATACGAACAATGATAGAAAAGTGCTCAAAATTAGAAATGACTCTTCCTTACATCAATTTCCTGAAGCAAAATTCTTTCAGGTATAATCAATTTAGTTAAGCAGGAATATTGCAACTCCACAGTTAAACTTTGGTGTTTGCATGATTAGGATCTATTTTCCAAATAGCAATGTTGAATGAGCTGCGTTACTATTTTTTTTATTTGTTTAAAATTTAAAGAAAATTACAATATGTTAGATACTTTTTGGTTACCTATTTCTAAATATGGCAAGCTTTCAGGACAAAAAAATTGGGAAAATACTACTCCTATTTTTTTTTTACTTTTTTTCCCCCTTTTCTTTCTTTCTTTCTTTTTTCCGAATTATAATTTAATTGCAATTTAAATGCAAGGGCATGGTTCACTGAAATCTGTTTTAAAAATTACTACATTTCAAAATTAAAGGTCACATTTTCAAGCACAAATATTATTATGGAGGCTTGTAGCACAGAAAATTTGCACAACCAATGTCAACATTAAACCCTGACAGGAAATTAGCTATCATATGGTCGACATACAATAAACCAGGTCCAACAGTTGCGTGATAACTAGTAAAATATTTAGCATATTTAAAACTAAAAAATCATGAATCATTAACTTACATCATGAGCAGACAGGAATATTATTTTGAAAATAATGGCACTAACTTCTAATAACAATTCAAATTTTTACTTTTATTAGAAACTTCTTGTATTTAGTACTTGGAGCTTGCATGGTCTAATTTATAAAAAGTATCAAACCAACAATATCTGAAGGATACAGAAACAAAGACCCTAAAACATTATTGGGTATAAATTGTGAAAAAATTGATAAATAAAATAAAATACATTTTGCCCATAATCTTTAGTATTTTAAGACATTTGCTTAAATCATGAATTTGTGAGCATTATTTATATTTCCATGCTCAATGGAAATGTAACAGACATGTAAAATTAGTATTGCATACATCACCAATTACTTTCAATGTAGATTTCTTCCAAACAAGTTTTGTATTTTTTAGCCCAGTTGTATGAAGAGACTTTAATCTATTTCAACACTTTCTACATTCAATAATTTCAAAAAATTAAATTTTATAATTTTAATAATAGTAATAATAATAATAATAATAATAATAATAATAATAATAATAATAATAACAACAACAACAATAATTTTGTTTTAACAGAAATACTCCTTGATGATGAAGGAACAAGTTTTAAATTTGATAAATGTATTTTGATCAGAATATTATACAATTTATTATAAACTCTTGAAAATGTTCTTGCCATCATTACATAGCTTTTATACTGTAGAGGATAATTTTTTCCTCAAATAATGTAAAAATTTTCAGAGGCTTTGCAGAAAAGTTATACAGAGGAGTCATTTAAATGTCTTTTTGAAGAACATAAAACTAATTTGCCACTTAACAAAATGATACCAAAAGAGATATTTAATTTTACAAAAGTGTGTTAAAATTGAAGAGAGGAAGATATTCACAAAATATAAATGGATTTGCAAGAAATAGCATGACTTAGTACTTTATCAGTTTTGAAAAGAAATCAATAAAGGCAATTAAATTCTGAGGATCTGATACTAGTAAAAATACATATATCAGCACCTATCACTACTGATGAACATGTTATCAGACATTATGTACATATTAAACATATTTACACAATACATTACACAACAATCCAGACTCTCGCATGGGAAATGATACTTAAGAGAAAATTACACTCTTAAACAAGCATATTCTACTTAAACAAGTCAGTCTAAAACAATCTTTTTTAACTATTAAAAACATATATACTGTAAAAACTATAAGCAAAATAAATGTCTGTCATTCAGAAAAATTAATGACTACATACACAAGTGAACATGCATTACTTCAATGAACATCCTCAGAAGGAAAAAATAAGTAAAAAATAAATGAACACAAATTAGTATGGAGGTAGAAAAATACCAAGTATCTAAAAACAGAGACAATAGCATTGTCACAAAGATGATTGACATATTATTAATATAAAATAATGTACACCCCTTAGTGAACTGCCCAAAAATCAATGTATTTCTTCTATTGAAATTAATACTGCTGTCTTTCTGATACTACCATCAGTTATAAATACCATCTACAATCAGCTTCATAAATGTTTAATATGTAATATTTTATACATCCCCCTTAAAAAGAGCAGTTTTATACATTTCTTTGGAAGAAATAAATCATTTACGTTATATACAATAATTTCCTGTATTCTGATACTTTCTACCCTCATACAACCATCGCTACTTCATCACTTGAGTTAATGGCAAGTCACACTGCAAATATTTTTCCAAAATAAGTATCTACTTTCTTGTGACTGGTGTAACTGTAAATTCAGCTAGTTTGTAGCTTTGTAAAAAACTATTTTAAAACCTATGTAAGCAAACCCATTCAAATATTTCTTACAATGCAAAGAAACAATGTATTTATGATTAGCTTTAACTAAAACATAACATTTTGAAGAAATATCTAATAATTTTCATCTCACATCAATCACAAATTATTTAATAGAAAAATACTATTTTTTTTCCACTGTAAGCAATGCAAAAAAGAAAGCAAGCACAAAACTCTTATCCATTTAAGCTGCACTACTACTAAGTATTTTCAGACTAGAAGAAAAATAGGAAAAATAGATTATACATGGATAAGACTTGAGTGATTAATACCATATTTGCAGTGAAACAAAAGGCTGAAAGATCCAGTAAACAAGTTTTCAAAAACTTCAGCATGATAGTAAAAGAAATGAAAAGGAAACCAGTAAAGTCAAGACATTTCTCTGACTGGCATAATTCATAACAAAGTATCAGAATCTCACACAGAAGTCACTTAACAAAATATGTTCCTTAAATTAGAATAGTCTTACAAAATAAAAATGCAAGGCTTTATACAAACAGGAGTTCACAATATGTGGCACTAGTAGCATCTCTGTACAACATGTATGCTTTTTATCACAAAGCCACATAAACATCTCAAAACATAATTTTCCATCATTGACATCAAAAAAATTTGTCTTAATTAATAATTGGCAATTCTATTATTTGATGTGGCTCAAATAATTGAAGAATAACAAAGGATTTCTAAATTTTTTTGTAAAAAAAAATGTAGAAATTAGAGGGGGGGTGAAAAAAATATGCACAAATAAATATATAAAAATCCACACTACAAATACAAAAAAATTCACTAAAAACTACATCTGATATTATTACTTTCAACATTCAATTTATCTGTCCTATATTCTGCATAAATTATCTTATTGAATGTAAAAAACAATAAGAAGTAAGCAATATTAAAATATCACATGTACCAACCTCATAATTAAGTCAAGGCAATGATTCTAATTATCTGGATTTTCATTGTAAATTAATTGAATTTTCCAGGGAGTAAATTCGAAAAAAATCAGTACTTGAAAATGCAATAGCGAAGATTAATTTGTTCCAAAAAGTCATTTTAATTTAGTACCTTCTTATATGAACACAAATTAAAATTTATATTGACCAGGTTCATTCTCTTTGTGTACCAGATGCCCCTTTGCACAAATGGAGACCCCTGTTCAGAAGACAATTTAACAAAATATTGACATCTAAATCACTGTTTTAACAAACAATCCTTCCAACTATTCCAACATTTGTACACCAGTTCCTGAAATATCATTTCCTTTTTGAATCAAGGCAACACCCACTATTAGTCTTTCCTTCATTGTTGCTGAATGCAGAATTACATTACTGAATGCAGAAAAGATATATTTGTACTAGCATCTTTAGAAGAATAATTTTGTAATAAAAATATATGCCCAGAACTATACTTTTAAAAAATAAGAAATGAAGAGAACAAAAACACATATAATGTTAAGTTTTTTCCTGAATTAACAAATTTAATAAAACTGAATAATGTTAATGAAATGTATGTAATTGACAAAATAGTCCAATCTGATTCTTAAATAAGACATTGATTTAAAATATGAAAACTAGCAAATAAAAAATATTGTTAATTTGTTCAAAACTGGGCATGTTGATAAATTTTAGTCATTCAACAGAATAGAAATTCTGTAGAATTTCAAATAATGAATTGCATCTTTTACAAATTATTAATACAAAGAAACTGATGAAAATTAACAACCAAATTAACTTTACGTAGATTAAAAAGAAAGTCAACAGAAGAAGCAAAAAAGAGTTACTTGAAACAAATTGAATGAGAGAATTGAATTGAACTTTTTTTCAAATCTTTTTTAATATGCAACATGTCATTCACTGTGCCATACCATAGATTTTAAAAAAATTGCCTCTGATTTTTGTACTTTAATACAAGATTAATAACAAAAGAATTCAACAAAATTTTCATTCATTTATTTACAAACACTGCTAAAGAAAGACTAAAGCTTTATCCACAAAAAGAACTTCAACACAAAAATTCATAGTTTTGAATTGATGAAAGAAAAAGCTTTTAAACTATTGTCATTATAAACAGGACTATATACAACATATTTATCTACAGTATTCTCAACATGTTGAATCACAAGATACAAAACTTTTTATTATGAATCTAAAATCTTACTCATTTCCTTGTATTTTGTTTTCATTTGCGCTGAAAACACAGACCTTGGCAAAAACATAAAAGATAAGTTTCATAGAAATGAACATCTTTTCATTACTTATAAAGTTGTCACTTTCACAACTTTCTCTGTTTAAATGTTCATTCTCCTGTAATCATTAATACAGTCAATTCAATTGAGAAAAAATTCCAGCAAATATTTCCTTGGTGTGAGCTGGATTAAAGAATTTACACATTCACCAAATATTCACTTCTAGTATATTTAGACACTGTATATGACACATATATTTCGTATGCCTTTTATTGTAAACCATGGTGTCAACATATTTAATAATATGAGTAAATTGGTATTGCAATCCATTACAAATAACATTAGTGAAGAATCCACTCCTCAGGCGCAGTTATTCTAGCACATTTTTTGTGACAAAAATACAACTGCTAAGAATGTAACTTTTGAAGTTAAAACCACAAATTTATGAAGTGTTCCTAAACTTTTCAAAATTAATATTTGAATAATTATCTTCATAATTATTTAAATATATAGCAACTAGGACATACGTTTGCAAGATTGCAGTGAACAGAAACATGTTCAACATGAATCTTATTCAACAATTTTACACCAATAAGCACAGCTGTTGAAGTCACAATGAAGTAACACATATATGAATTCAAAAAGGTTGAGAAAATATAAATAATAACAAATACAAGGCCTACATTGTAGGTAAGAAGCATTTCTTGAAGTTGAAATTTATGAATCTTCACTGCAGCATTGGCAGCTTTTTATATTAGAAAACTTAAATCGATGGACACTGACTGTATATACATCATAATGAACACTTTTCACATGACAATAGAAAGATTAAAAATAAACAAATGCCTGTTCTGTAGGTTTTGAGATCCAACCACTCACCAATACCTATACTTCTTAATGCAGTCGTTGCCCAAATCCACAACAATAATGTGAAAATCTGCAGTAGCAGCCACTCCACTTGGTCGTTTTAGCCGTGAGTCATGAGAGTCAATATTGGATACTACAGATCCATTTGAAAAGTCCAGAACTTGCACAAAGCTCCGACTTTTCTCAGATCTTGTGGCTATTATGTGACCATCACCATCAATAGCCACACCACCATATCTGCCACGACCTGTTCACATAAGTAACTAGTGCAAAATCATTTGATAAATATTATCTTAATTCAACAAATTATAACGTACATAGAACAAATAATGGGTTCACACTAACAAGGTTCTAAAGATCATTTTGTTAATTTTACAGGAGAGCATTTTAAAAGATTGGAAAGTGATATACTCAAATTAAATTAAGTCATATTTTGTTTTTATTTACTGTGCTCTACTAATTGGTTAAACAAATAGTTCATCATTTCCTATATCTGACGTGTTCATAGTGCAGTAAATTAATGATGCAATTTAACGAAATAAATTGGTTATTCTCAAACAGAACTTAGTGTTTCTAAACTATTACATTTTGTTTTCAGTTCATTTTTGTACTTTCAGTTTCTGAAATGCAATCCCACTATATGGACACCCAACACTGAGACAAAAAGGACATCAGCAAATATAATTTCAAAGATTTTAATTGCATTTTTTTTTTCAGTAGAAGTAAAAACATACGGCATCTTTATGAATGTGTAAACAAAATCAATCCAGAATAAACTTCTTTTCATTATTAAAAGTTTTCACAACTCACCCTTTCCTTCAGGATATATTTCTTCCATGAAGTCTCCTTTTGCAGAGAAAACTTGAATACGTGAGTCAGCTACTACAATTTCTCCACCAGGACCAACAGTTACAGATGAGATCAAATTAAAACAACCTTTCTGGCTTCCTTTTTTTCCAACCTGCAGGGATATAATGAGTGGAAATTAATAAATAAGTTGTTGAAAGTATAATGGATACATAACCTATTTCTATTCTTTACAGAAAACTGTTTTCTGATCTCGTATTTGGATTGAAGGATTCGAAAATATATGCATTAAATAATTAAAAAGAAACAGAGAAAATGACACAAAACTGAAAAGTTTGCAAAAGCAACCTTTGATGCATCAGTCACTAACAGACCTTTTTTTCTCCCTTAACACAATATTCAATTACATCTCTTCCCCCCCCCCTCTCTCACACACACGCTTTCTGACTCTCCCAGGCGAGAACCCACCCTCCCTCTCTGACTTGCCCTCTCACTCTCCCTCCCTCACCTATTCTTTCTCCCTCGCTTTCCCCCTCTCTCTCTGACTCGCTCTCACCCTCCCTCCCTCTCTCACACACCACCCCTCTCCTACTCTCAATTTCTCTCTCCCTCTCCAACTCTCTCAATCACACTCTCCCTCCCTCTTTGTCTCTCTTTCTCCCTCCGTCCCCCCTCTCCGACTCTCACTTTCCCTTCCTCTCCAACTCGTTTTCTCACTCTCCGACTCGCTCTCACCTTCCCTCTCCGATCCTCTCTCTCTCTCACCCTGCCTCCCTCTCCGACGCTCTCTTTCACCTCCCACTCTCTCCGACGCTCTCTCACCCTCCCACCCTCTAACCCTCCCTCCCTATCCGACTCACTCTCCCTTTCTGACTCGTTCTCTTATCCTCCATCCCGCTCCGAATCGTCCTCTCCCGCTCCCTCACTCTCCGACACTGTCACCCTCCCTGCCTCTCCAACTCTCTCGCTGACTCCCCTTCTGACTCACTCTCTCCCTTCCACCCTCTCCGACTCTCTCCCTTCCTCCCTCTTTGACTCCCTTCCTCCCGCACCGACTTTCTCTCCTTCCCTCTCCGACTCTCCCTCCTTCCCTCTCCGACTCTTTTCCCTCACTCCGATTTTTTTTTTTGAAAGTCAAGTACATTTTTTTAATATGAATAGTTTGGGCATAATTTTGAGAAAAACTAGAGGCATTTCAAAAACAATTTGAAAATTGTAAACAATTTTTCAATTTTAAACTATTATTTTCCCAGAACCGGTTTCAATTTTTTTTCTTTAATTTTTTTCATGTATGTAGCAAAGAAAGTAGTGCTGGTCCATTTTCGGCGTACATTCGAAAATTGGAAAATAATTCCAAATGTAAATTCGACCATCTAAATAAATGCGGATGTGCACGACAAGCGCTTTCTTTAACTTGGCTGAATTGGACATGCTTAAGGCATAGCTGAGGAGTAAGTAGCATAGAATTTGCAATATTTTAATATTATGGAACCGTTTTCTTTGATGGACAAAATATGTGCAATTGTAGCTAGTTTCTTTAAATTTTATCCGCGGATAGGGTAGAACAAGGGACGCTTAAAAGAAAGGCGTAAGTTTCATATTCTCGAACTCTCTCAATTTTCGAAAATTAGCAAAAGTTAGAAATAATGCAAGAAAGTACGTGAGGTCGTGGAATCACAGTTTCCTGAAGTTAACACAATTTTCTGCCTAATGACAGAATTTGGCGTCATAAAGAAATTCATAAGATGCCAAGATAGGATATAATTATCCCCTCATGATCATAAGTATATTAAGGTTAAAAAGGCATCCGTGAAGCAGTATAGCTGAAAGCATGGACTCATTTCCAATATTGGACTTCAAAAGATGGTGTCCTGCTCTTTACAAAAGGGCGTGTCTTTCAGTTTCAAGCATCGGTAAAACACCTAAGGTTACTTTACATCCTTCCGAACGGATGTCGTTTGAATGTACCTCTCGCTCATCTGGCCAAGTGATGAGAGAATAATTCATTAATGATTCTCAGTTAAGAGAGCTTCTATGTTCAACATAAAATCAATTCGAAACCAACATTTTCTGCAGAACCGGCTTGTTCATTAGATAAAACGCCAATCAGTACCAAAAAGAGTAAGATTTGTCTAAGTGGGTTCATAGGCTTCCGCGGCCGGAGTCAATGCATTCTTGGCTATCCGGGATGCAATATAGCTCTGAAGAAGGCCACAGCAAGATGGCCGAAACGTCAGTACAATTGACTGAGACGCGGCTCATCCCGGAGAGCCAAGAATGCAAGATTCGTCGTACATTCTACGAAAGTGTATTGATTTCATGTGTATGTGTATGCATGGAGGGTGGGTCGTGGATGAGCGAGTGAACGGGCGGGCCTACCTGGAAGAGCAGCTTGCCGTCCGCGTCGAAGACGAAGACGCAGCTGAGGCCGTTGTCGGCGACGAGCACGTGGCCGTAGCCGGCGTCCACGGCCACGTCGATGGGCTCCTGGAAGGCCGGGTGCGAGAAGCGCGCCACCGTGTCGCCCTGCACCGTCATCTCGGTGACCTCGCGCGTGCGCCAGTTGACGACGACGAGGCCGGCGGCCGACACGGCGATGCCCGTGCACGAGCGCCCCGCCAGGCCCTCGTTCTCGATGTGCCGCACGAACTGCAGCTCGGCCGTCAGCACCTGCGGCGCGCACGCGCTCTCACCACGCGCTCGCCTCGCCCGTGCACTGGCGCGCCACAACCGCTGACTAACCGGCTTTACATCCGTAAGTCATGTCATGCAATCGGCGGTGATCGGCCCCAGCTGGATGGTGAGATCCGACGCCGACCTACACGTCGGCTTAACTGGGTTTCCCCCGACCAGTCGCGGAGCACCGCCCTCGCCAAAACAAGCTCTAAGCTCCCGACGAGTGTGGTAGGTAGTGGGGTGCATGTACGCAAGTAGTGAGGATGGGGCAATGAAGAGGGAGCAAAGATCGCGCGCGAAGGTCCGTGGCCCGTTGGTTCGGTTACTGCTCCGGCATTTGCCTGGCGTTGATCGGAGCAACCACGGCCACTACGGATCACAGCAGCCGGCCGCTAGCATTCTCCTCCAGTATGAGGCAGAATTCGACCTCTCTGTGTAGCGGGTGACGAAAATCCTGCCAAAGTTGGGACTCGAACCCTAGGACCTCCCAGTTACACACTGCTGTGATATCAGTTGTTGCCCTGAATCACCTCTGCCGGCAGCAGGTGCTCGGGCCACCAGGCGAACATCCCGGGGACGACTTGAGGCCTACACTCCGATTACAAGGGCTACATGGCAGCGATCAGCTGGGACGCGGTTATCCAATCGGGAGAATCGTAATATTTTATGTTGAATCTTCCGATTGGATATTCGCATCCAGTCTTATCAAAAATTAATTCGCCCTGCGCTTTAATACAAGTATACTCTTAAATGTACTTTATCATTGAGCTCGTTTTGGAAGTTGTTGGCAAGGTAACTAGGTCTCTTAGAGTTCGCGATAAGTGTTGCTCAGAGTCAAAATGTTGGTCACACGATCATGTGACAAAAAACTCACGATCGAAACGTGTTTACATTATAGATATACAAATATTTAGTCGAAATGGAATGTGATGAATCCTATCTGTAGGGGAAGATATTAAATATGAGCCTTCACAAATTTTGATAATTGTATAATTGTAAAAAATTGTAGGATTAATATGAACATTATATAGTATATTCAAGTTCGAGAAATGACGGTTCGCTGTATTAATTTACAACCGGGATCTTCAACTAGGGACCGTGTTCCGGATTCTGCCCCCAATGGGTTTTATCCGTCCCATGTGGCATCCAGATCAGGGTCTCCTGAAGTTGGCGGTGAAAAAAATTCAGAAGCGGCGATCTTGAAGTTACTGGAAGAGGAAGGGAATGGATTAGGTTGATGGGAACGCCGGCTTATGCCACTAGACTGAAAGATGAGTGCAGATAATTAAAACGCAGGCGGAATTTAGAAAAACATTCCAGATTATTACCACCTTCCGTTGTTCCAAGCGTTTTTGAAGAAATGCATTTTTGATAGCCCCAAAGTATCATCCATGTGAGAATGCGCAGTTCAAGGCAATACCGAACAATTATCTACGAATATTTTGGCACGTTATGGGACGTATTTCTAAGTTCTAATACGAGAGAGTTTTATAAAAAAAAGTCACGATGTAGGGTTTTACACGAATATACATTTATTGAAATTGTCCTTTTAACCAATAAAAATTGCACTTATGTATGTACCTTCAAAAATTTACAAGGCTTCTTGCATATTTTATTAATGAACGGCACTTGTACAATAACTTGTGTAGCATTGATCGCTAGTTACTATTTTCATTCGTTCCATACACGGGTGTAAGTATTACTCAATCGTTCCGACACGCTTCTGCCGTCAGGAATAGTCGTGTGGCCTTTCTCCGAAGATGTTTGGATTTCCTTCGCTTAGAACTACTCTGCTGACAAGTCTGTCTTCCGTCTGCCAATACGACTTTTGCGAGCGCGTCCCTACTCTTCGAGACCGCCCTACTTCCGCCTACCGCGCGGATCTGCAGCAACCAGAGGGCACCCACCTTGATGCGCGAGTTGCCGGTGTCGACGACGTAGACGGTGCCCGCGGCGTCCACAGCCACCGCCACGGGCTGCAGGAAGTCGTCCTTGCCCGGCCCGCGCCCGCCGTACGTCGCCACCGGATTGTTGTGCTCCGACACGTCCAAGAAGAGCGGCGAGTCGCGCACCGGCCGCTCCAGCACCGACACCTGCGCACGCGGCTCCGTCTCCACGCTGCTCGCCTGCCTGTCAGTCTATCTGCATGCCTGTCTATCGCCATCCTTTCTGTCTATCGACATGCCTGTTCGCCAGTCTATCTGCATGCCTGTTCGTCTGTCTATGGACATGCCTGTACGTCTGTCTGCATGCCTTTCGTCTATTTGCCTGCATGTTCATTCGCCTGTCTGTCCAACTACTGTGTCTGCTCTGCCACTGTATGAATGTCTCGCCCCTCCGTTGTCTATCTGTCCCTCCGTGTCTGTCCGCTCCTCCGTGCCTGTCCGC